GGCTAATGATAACTATCAAAACGCCTGCCATTTGTTACAATACTTTAATTTTTGAATGATCTTAAGTTATTTGAAGTTGGAAATGAAATGAATACTGTTCTCACTTATCGGGTTCTTCCATAATAAAATTTCTTAATAAAAGTAAAAAAGAAACATTCATTTTCTTCTGAAAATTAACGAAATTCCTGGCATATATTTCAAAGATATAAAATGGCCTTAAAGTTGTCCATAGAAATAGGAATTTATAAAAAAACAACTATATTTCAGACATTATTAAAAAAATTTCCAACCTTAAATGAAAGACATTACCGTTATAAGGAGTGCATTTGCAAAATGCAAGAGCCAAAATTCACTACTTTAAGGTACTGCTGTCACAGTAAATTAGAGAAATATCGGCACGTTAACTTACCTGTGATTAAATGACACGATAATACCTGTGAAATGCAAATTCTTGTGACAAAATTTCTGCTCAAATCTGGATAAAGTGAGACAGTAGATGCTATCTAGATCAGTGAAGGAATCTCTGAAATATTTCTAAATTAAGAATAGCAGCCATAAATTTTGATATGAAGGGAATTAAATTGGTTGATTTCCTCCATTTCGAGAGAACGAAGCACTGTTTATGAAACTTCTTTACCCACTTGTTATCAATAAAAGATGAGATTAAGTGGGTGATGTATAAAAGTTGAGCCGTAGAAACTTCGAGAAAGCCTTGAGTAAACTTTGTAAAACTAAATATCACTTTGCCAAAATCAGTTAGTTTTGAAGTAATCATATCTAATCAGGCGTGAGGAATTGCTGTTGTTGTGATTCTCTGGAGCATTTCCAGGCGGGATAACTTGTATCGAGAATTGTAGGTTGTCAGGTATCTTTCACTTTGGCTAATTTAGCGTTGGTCTTGTGTCGATGTAACCAGCTCGTAATATTCTGCTATTAAGGCGAAAAATATTAAATAAGAACCGATATATTTACAGAACCCCTATATCAAAAGGATATGGGTAATAGGAACGCCTTTAGTTTTGATGGAAATAATCTTTTCACCTTTTTATTAAGTACCTGCGTTTCAATTTATAGCGCTTCCAGATCCACCAACGTGGATTGATGCGAGGCCTGTTGGAGGGACATTTGCAGTCCTTCGATGGAAAGCTCACAAAGTTAGCGAGATTGAATCCTACACGCTAACTGTGGAATCAAAGGAGAAACGAGTTGGATCGTTGATGGAACTTCGAAGACAGATCACGGATATCGTTACCAAGGGCTTTCCTACCTCTCTCAGTGACGACTCCCAAATTGTCACATATAATGTTACTGACCTCTCTCCCTATACGACGTACAAAGCGACAGTCCAAGCTGTAAATCGAAAAGTTGGACTTTCGTTGCCAAGCGATGAAATGGACTTCCAAACTGCTGAAATTCGTAAGTTTAAATTACTGAAAATGAGGTCGTTTACGTTAAAACTACTCGTTTTACTTATTTGTTTCATATTTAATTTATATATTGCTTTTATGTTGAAGAATATACATTCGTATTTAATATATGTTGTTCAATCTATTGAGTAAATTTCTTTTCAAATAATCTGCAACAGTCAAATTTCTAAATCAACAGATTTAAATAACCAATATTTCTCTGGAGTTGCGTGGTGATATCAGATTTAGCACTATTTATGAGCATGCGAAGCAATATTTTGCATTTTTACCTTCCATATCCGTCAAATTAATCTCTGTTCATTTCGCATAACTTCCCTAATACAATGGCCAAACGTCTAGGAATAGCCCATTCTACAGTGATGATAAGTTGCATTATGGCTGTCAACTTTAACTGAAATATTTTAAAATCAGTGCGTCTTTAATACATTCTTTATTAGTGGGCGATGAAAGGCGTCACCTAGAAGCTTGAATGAAAGATTGAGGAAGCCAATAATGTTGACGGTCTATGATAAGCAATACTTAAAGTACTTGGATTTGTACTAATATCTTTGTGGGATTAACCGTTCACCTATCTTTTGCGTACAAAACCAGGCAGTATTGTTGAGGTGCTCAGTTATATCTTCAGATACTCGCCTCTTTTTCATGTTCTTTGCAGAGTCACTATCCTATGGCACATCTGTGAGGCCTTAACAGATTTCAATTCATTAAAACCTCTTTACATTTTTGTAGAAAGCTTCATAAATTATTATGGAGTTCGGAAGTTTAAGGTAAATGGTGTATCCTTCTTTTGCGAAATGGCTAAACAGGTATATCTATGCAGATATTCTTTAATCTAGCTATTATTTGATCTGATTTAACCTGTATAGTACAGTTCGTGATAAATCCTACCAGAAGCTATGGACTTTGTCATTTTCCTTCTATTTTTTTTTGTCGTAATCAAAAGCCACAGAAAATGTTGTAAGGTTTAAAGGATTCCAGGGCACACCCACATTAAATCAACTTTAAACTACACCTTTCCTTAACATTTTGTAATTTCCGGCCGTGTCATACTATTGACTCCCATATATGGCAAATAATTATCACATTGGGAAATGTGTTCAAATAACGCAATCTTTTGATTCGCGTTCAGCTATTAGCAACTCTGCCGATGAGTTGCTTATCCGATTTCACGAGATATTGCTTGACTCTAAAAGCAGATGAAGCTAGTATTGTGTGTAAGAGGTGCTGACAAGTCAGGGTAGCAGGATTTCTGAATGTTGGATTCATTAATAATTCCGGCAGCCTCAGTTCAGTAAGCAAAGTTAAAAAACCAAGGTAACCGCCACTTAACAAGTGCAGCTTTAAGCCCTATTTACTAAATGCGTTCAGTTAGCTAAAAAGTAGCTCCTATGCTATTACCAGTTACTGAATTGATTTATAGACTGAGTTCGAATAGCTACAGCTTTTGTGAATGAAATTTATCACGCCAGTAAATGGCAATTGAGATTTAAAGGCAATTGGCTTGTAATGATCAAATTGCATGCCTTTAGTATAATTATCGTATTTCAATTAATTCCAGCAGCATTCACGGGATAGCTTACGAAAACTGTTTGTTCCTCAGCTCATGAAATATTCTCATAGAAATGTGGGGTTTTGTCCTATTTAATTGTCTCAGAAAAGTTATTATGTGGATTTATTTTGTGGCTCAGACTTTGGTAAACATTGCCTTAGTTCACATTTCATTTGGAAGATGTTCTCTTTTACTTTTCTCCGGGCACAATATTTTACGTAATTAGGCAAAGATATTTGCACCATATTCTTTTAAACATCCTCGCATTCAGATACAAATTATGGCTTAACAAAGTCTAAGAAGGTTTCTTATATTTGTTGCTAAGCACATTCAAAGAATATGGGTGAGGGGGGGGGGGGTTTGCAAACGGAGCCTGAGTGACAATATACAAATTAAATATTAATACAAAACTAGTTATGGCTGTATGACTTCAACTCATCGATTTTAACTGCTAACTGCGTACAAGTCGGCTCAAACGTTTTAATAATGGTAGGAGATGGTACAGATTCTCTACGTTGATTAGCAGAAATCCTGGTAAAACTGAAAGCTTCGCAGTTGAATTTCACTCAATAAATTATTAATAGTCAATATTTACACAGTTATATGTAATTGAATCAAAATTATGACAACTACTAAAGAGCAATAATATTTTGATGGTAATCTGAACGCATGTTATCACTGGAATTATATGGGCCCTTGTCGAGAGATTTATGAAAGTTGAGTTGATATATCAGAGAAAATTGCAAACGAAGTACTTTTAAAAACAAAGAACGATTTGCAGTTAATAAAACAGAATTGGATTCGAGTAAATTCCTTTTCCATATTTCAGAAGTAAAATCTGCAGAGATTTCATTCGGTTAAGTAAACCGCCATGCTGCCGATTGTATAAAAATTTACGTTAATTTGCATTTTGGGACAGTGGGAGCGTATTTCATTAGCAAGGCACAATACACTTTGTGAATTCTATCCACTTATTTTGTGTGATCAAATTTTGTTTGTGAAAAATACTGTATATACCATGAAATAAATATGAGGAAAGTAACTTTAAAAGGCATTTTTCAGGGGTTCTAACCTTAACCAAGTATATAAACGGTATTGATTAGCCACAATCACAGTTACATATATATTCTGTTATGGGAAAATGAGTCCAGCTTTTCTCTAAAATGCGACTGCGAAGGTTAAAGAGGAGGCGGAGGAGGAGGAGGAGGAGAAGAAGTTGACTACGCTTCGCTTCTCCTCTGACATCTATTTAAAACCGCGATGGACAGATCGCCCCAATGCAATGCAGTGAAGTACTGATTTGCTGCTGCCGAAACAGCTCACTGGACTGGAAATGAACAAAATTAATACATTGTCACAAGTCCAAGCCTACTTGTGGGTAATCTATTTCTTCCCCTCAAACTTATATTCCAACACTTCCATATACATGCTCTTCGATTTCTACTGTAGGCAGTAAACCTTTCATAATTGAGAATTTTTTTACATTTAATTTAAAGAAATAACCGTAATTATTATGATTTTCTTTAAGTAGACTTACCTATTTCTGGGAACATCATTAAAGCCTGCTAAAATAAGGAATGAATGAAGGGCGAGTTGTAGATAGAAGCGGAAAAAGATTCGTAATTCGAGAGGCAAAAAATGGAAAGTTTTGATGGGCCTCTGTTGAGAAGAGCTATAATTAGGCGTGATGTAAAGTCATAGCAAGAATTTTACAATATACCAATACATAAATGATTGCTTCTTGCGCAAATATTAGATAATCTAAGGTAGAATTTGCTTACTTTAGCTCCTGGAGAGCCTCCGCAGGATATTCGAATGCGAGTCAGCGGTCCAACATCCCTGGAAATAAGCTGGGACGCTCCTCAACTTACAAATGGAAAAATTTTGGTTAGTTGCTTCATTATTTCTCTATAGTAATTCATTAAAACACGGATCAAACCTAATTTACTCTATTCAAGTAACGTATTGTCCACTGTTTTAAACAGATTCCTCTAGTTAATGCAATTAGGTCACTAATGCGTCTGGTGTTTTGTTACAAATAGGGTTACAAAGTCTACTACACTACCCGAAAAGCCTTTCCACTCAGTGCTCGGCAAGCGAAACGAACTCCGAATCAAAAAATTCGACTTGATGACCTCCTTCCAAATGCCACCTACATCGTGTCAATTAGTCCTTACAATGCGGCTGGTGATGGGCCTATGAGTGATGACCATTATTGTCTGATTTTACCTGGCGGTGAGTTTAGCTATATATATATATATATATATATATATATATCTTTATGTCTTTTACGTTTGCTCAGATTATGAAACTCATTTGTAATTTTCGTAAATTTCTATTTGACAGTTGAGTTCGAATTTTAATGGAATATCTCATCTTTAACAAATTCATGTGGTGATTATTTTTAAAAAAGAATCAAGTTTTTAATTCCTTAATTAATTGTTTGAGAAAACGGTGAACAAAGACGGTTGGCCTATCATCCGAATTCCTGAATGCCTATTTGCACTTAAATTGAGTTTATCACCATGTCTTCATTTAAAAATTGTTTTGACGATCTTATAAGAGATGTTTCCTTTGCTTTTTACGAAAAATTTGAGGTATTTGCATTTGAACGAGCTTGATTTACATCGTATCGGACCTTTAATAAATTTGCAAATGAGGAAAAATTTAAAGAGTTGATTGGATTTTAAATTGATCAAACCGTTATGAGGTGTTCATTGATGAATTTTCCAATTGTGCATATTTTAGATTAACCGCTAGAAATGAGGAAAGACGCAATTACCGATAAATCTAGAAAAAGCTTCAAAAAGTTGTAGTAACGTTACTAGTTGGAACAAAATTAGCTTTCAATAGTTCATTTATTAGATGAAATGGAAAAATTAACTTTCGAGTTTTCCGTCATCTTTCTCTAAGTTTTGCTTTTTATGATGCTAATATGAGCATTCTATCCTATTGAGGCTAGTATTTGAGAGCAATTTGGCCAGAACCGACTCAAGGATAGCATTTTTGTGCTGTGTTTTCTTGTGCAAATCTTTAAGTCCCTCAACTCATCACTCTTTATCACATTGCTTATTTCGTCATTTGATCTAGTTAAGGGAAAAGTGGCAGACATTGTCACTGACCATTTGTCTGGGAAGAGAGTGGTGGAGAGTGTGTTAATTAAATATACGGTTACAAGTAAGTAATTGAGAAAGCTTTGATTACTATTGGTCATTTACAACTTATCACCATATACAGACGCACTCGTGATTGCATTTGAAATGGGCCATAAAACTCAGCTCTTGGCGACAGTACTGAGTCAACTTAGCATAAATTTTATCGTAGAAAAAAAAGGGGTTGGAACAGGTTGCATCCCTCTTCGGCGAAGTGACAAATTGGCCTCTCTCTCTCTACCTGCCAAATGCATGGCCGATACATTTCACTTAACGAGATCTGGCTCAGAGGTAAGGAGCTAATGCATTCGGAATAGATAATAACTACTACTACTACACTACTGCACAAAGCAATGTACAGATTTATTTGAATCCATTACCAGTATAGGGGGTATCATTAGTAAATCCTAAATAGCAGTCCATTTTCTAGCTAAAAGTGGCAAACTATATTAGTGCATAGGTGAAATGTTGGAACTTTTAATTTCCACCTTATTAAGGCAGCTCAAAGCTCAATTTTATCAAATTGTCCGCAATTGCATGGTTTTCATACAATTTTCAAATTTTATCTATGCAAAAGCATGTAAGCAGTGAAAAATATCATGACAATAAGATGGTCAAATCGAGGCAAAATAATCATTTACTTTGATTGAATTCTTAATTCCTCCCTCACATGGTGACGATTGATTAACCAGAGCGACTGTTCATAAACATATTTTAATGTGGGGGTTGTTTCCCAATATGAACCTGAAATTCATCAACCTTGTCTTTCTAGGGTTAGACGTAAGAGTGTGTTGGAACATGTAAGGATAATCTAGAATCGATTTCTGAATAAATGAATAAGAAGTCATTATTTCAAGTTATATTCGTTTGTGAGGTTGCTAATGATATACGTCACATAATTAACCTAAAAAGGTGAATCATTTTAAAAATGTTGTTTCCTTAACGTAGTATTGTAATGTATGCGTCAGTTCTAATCAATTAAAAAACTCGTACATTTTCAATTTAAACATATTTTTACAAAATGATGAAATTATATTCGACATATTAAGAGGATTTAATCAAGATTTTGGCATTTAATTATGACCTAAAATACATTTAGACATGAGCCGTAATAGGCATAATATTTGCCCCCAAACTGAGAGTATCGATTGAACTATCTTTTTGAATTAGTTAACCAAATCGGCTTCGTTTTATCCTGTACACTAGGGGATAATCTTTTACCCACAAAAAAATAAATTAGCCAGTCTATTGCGTCCCTGAAATTGTACCCCATTTTTTTAGTCCAAATCCTGTAGGAATACGACCAAATGTTATTGGAATAAGCTACCTATTCTTTGAATATGTCGCAAATTGGGCATTTGATGTTGTGAATCAAGAAATTAATGGCGAAATTGGGGAGTTTATGCATACAGGTTACATTACTAATCAAGAAAGCGAAGGCTGTAGTCAAGGGGGAAGAATGAATGAAATGAATGGAGGTTGGCAATATAAAGGTTGGCGCCACGCAAAGATAAACTCGGTAAACGCCTTAGCTAAGAAGAATACGAAACTACCCTCTAATTGACTGGTCGTGAAGATGGCCATCCGCCCAATGCTTTAGTCTCTGTTTCACTCACTCACTCCCCCCCCTTCCCTCCTCTCCAACCCTCCCTCTCTCTCTCTCTCTCTCTCCCTTTAATTACATATGTGTCCAGTTGCACAGAGTAACCATTTCAGAGTCGGAGATTCAAATTGTGCAGATTAACCTATTTCCAAAATCTGATCTTTAATTGTTTTGGTGACCACTCAAAATTGGTTTTATGAATAAACTCGACGGCAAAGTTGATGAATGAAGCATATATTTAGGGTTGAGTGTGTCGACATGGTACTTCAATAAACAAATTATTACTAATCTGTCTTCTAACACAGAATCATTTTCTATTTGGGCTGTTTAGAAAGGACTGCATTGTACTTTAAATCGCATTTATTCATTAAGTTTAACATACTGAGTTAAAAAATCCAAACAAAAGGTAATAAACATACTCCTATTTTAATGAGGGGCAAACTTGATTTTGAGGAGACGATTGTTGTAGGGAACAAGGTAAATCGCATCAAACCAGCCAAGTTCACTACAAAGATCACATATTCTACAAAATGCTAGCAATCTTTCAGTTGAATGATGGCGCGTGGAAATTTGTTCAAGTTCTTCGGTTAAATAACTAATATGTATAAATATATTCCCAGATAAAGTATTTTAGCTCCTATTATGCTCTCAAAATATAATAATGACTGTAAGTACATTGACTGAGCTCAAAAAAATGTACCCATTTTCTCCGGTTCAGTCTCTCTGCATAACAATTGTGGACATTTAGACAAATAATTCTGCAACACGGCAAAGCCAAAGATGTTCTTTATTTAAGTGGAAGCTTCGAAGCATTTTGAATTCTGGGACAAATCAGCTTAACGATAAAGGTTGAGAATTTAAAGATCTATTTCGTCCGTGTCCCCTTTCTTAAGGTGGGACAATTTATAATTCTTAAGAAATTGAGTTTGGTCCAACACAACTCAACTTTCTAGAACTCAAATTGTAAGTTCCAATCCTTTGATTGCTCAATGCGTAATATTTGTCGGAATATCAATTATGGAACCTGAAGATTTGGTTAAACTTCCTTTAGATAATTACAACTCTCGCTTTCTTCACATCACAGCCTTTTAATGCTCAAACTTCTCTTCTCATACTCTTAACTTTTTTTTAAAATTCTAAAGATATTTCGCTAAAAATAAGTCAATTGCTTTGCTTTGATATAATGAAGGTGAAGATCAAAGCAATCCTAGGAAAAATTGTTTATTTTAAGGCTATAGTCGTATTAGCCTTAATCATAAGATAGTATTCTAGCATGTAATTGGCATGAGCCTAAACGTTAGGTCAAATAAGGACACATGATGAATTCAGGAGTTCAAAGGCTTTTCAGTAGTAGAACTTTGAAGTCACTTTGTTCAATTTCTATATTTTGAAACCGGAAATTTACTGGGTGATCTTGTGTCAGTAAAAGTAGGATCCTGTTCATCAGTTTATTTACTCGAAAGCTCTTCCAAGCCACAGATTTATTTGTATTTTCTTATAGGCATGAATAGATATCATAACACCATAGGATTGATTCCATGAATCACTTCAAATCTGTCCTAACACATGCAATTTTGTATAGATATCATTTATGGCTCAACCTGGAGACTAACTTTTCTACCTCACATTTACCCTACTCCTTTGCTTACGTTCCAAAATTTCCCATCTTAGAAAGATCTTAAGCATTCATGAAAGGAATCTACTTTTGGTAGAAACGGTATATGCTAGGGTAGTCGATGATAGTTATATTATATAAGATCAGAAGTTCATGAAATAGTGTCGTTTTACAACCGGTTGTAAATGCAAAACAAAGGTGCTTTAACCATTATTGCACAGCATTTCCTATTATTTTCTGTCAGTGAAACAGTCATAAAATCTAAATATATCACTTTTGGTGTGATTAAAGCTGGTCCCATATAATCTACTTACTTCTGAATGCATTTCTCCATGTCAAGAAACTTAGAAACGAAACCTATAAGGTTTTTTTGTAATGAATAATGATTTTATATGAAATTTTTTATTGCTTCTCATTCTAATTTGCAATTGCTAAATAGTTTCTTTTTGGCCCACTAATGTTGATTTTCATCTTTACTGTCAATTGATTAGTAGCGTTTAGCTTCTTAACAATTCCATACATCTTTCTACCTGTCCTGATTCTGTGGACAACATTAGTATAATGACCCAACTATAGTTATCGTATTGTCAGTTTCGTTACTATCACATCTAAAGACTTTAAGGAAAAACACTTTTAAATTCCTATCAAAATCTATCCACTTTTCAATAATTTTACCTTACTTAGAATATCTTCATCAAATAGATATTGAAACCTCAAAGGAAAATAAATTTAGAAAATTTGTGATATTTTGCAAATTAAAGTTATTTATTTATATCAAATGGCAGGCGTTTTGATAGTTATCATCAGCCCTTTTATTGACTTCAGGCATCACAGAGTGGAAGGAGCAGCAAAGAGGAAAAAAGTCGAGAGGGGGGGGG